TTGTGAGTCAGAATAACAATAGTGAGTCAGAATAACTATTGTGATAGACAACTGTGAGTCAGAATAACAATAGTAAGAGACAATTGTAAGTGAAAATAACAATAGTGAGAAACAATTGTGAGTCAGAATAACAATAATGCGAAACAATTGTGAGTCAAAATAACTACAATGAGAAACAAAAACGAGTCAGAATAACAATAGTGAGAGGCAATTGTGAGTCAGAATAACAATAGTGAATCAGAATAACTATTGTGATAGACAACTGTGAGTCAGAATAACAATAGTACGAGACAATTGTGAGTGAGAATAACAATAGTGAGTCAGAATAACAATAGTAATAGACAATTGTGAGTGAAAATAACAATAGTGTAAGACAATTGTGAGTCAGAATAACTACAGTGAGAAACAAAAAAGGGTCAAAATAACAATAGTAAGAGACGATTGTTAGTCAAAATAACAATGATGAGAGACAAATCTGAGTCAGAAAAACAATAATGAGAGACAATTGTGCGTCAGAATAACAATGATGAGAAACAATTGTGAGTCAGAATGATAATAATAGTGAGAGATCATAGTGGGTTAATGTTTCAGTGTTCTAATGCGAGCTGGAACGCAGTGTAGCCTATAGCTGCATACTGGATGGCGCTGGATGTGTTTGTAAAAATCAATTCTTCACCAAGCTGAAGCTGTTGAAATTAGGTTAGGTTTATCAACCATGAAAGTAAAAAGGCATCCATGATAGAACTCAATAAAATTCAATCACTACTCTTTCAACTTGTATATTTGTGTTCATACATGCATTTAGCTCTACGAGCGTGACCTGGACGATTGCCATGATTGATTGCGATAATTTCTGTTTTTAAATTTATTCGGTATAATAATACAAATGTACACCCTGACAGAGGCGGACATACATATTTTGCAACCCTCGGAGCCCATTGTCAACCTCGGCTTCGCCTCGGTTGGCAATTAGCTCTTCGGGTCGCTAAAACTGTATGTCCACCTAACTTGTATATTTGTGTTCATACATGCATTTAGCTCTACGAGCGTGACCTGGACGATTGCCATGATTGATTGCGATAATTTCTGTTTTTAAATTTATTCGGTATAATAATACAAATGTACACCCTGACAGAGGCGGACATACATATTTTGCAACCCTCGGAGCCCATTGTCAACCTCGGCTTCGCCTCGGTTGGCAATTAGCTCTTCGGGTCGCTAAAACTGTATGTCCACCTATGTCGAGGTGAACATTTGTATAATCTTCTTAATGTTGAACGACTATACAAATAGTTGCACATTTAGACGACATATCTCACGTCCATGTTATTTAAGTACATTAAACATAATGCATATAATGTGACATTTACCTTGAAAAAGCTTTTCTGTTTTCATCGCGACTAATCTCTTCGTCAGCTCCACACTTAAAAAATCCTAGTGTGACTTGATCTAACTGAGTTGTTGCGTAGTCTTCGTAGTCATCTAGACATACTAGTGGTGGTTTGCTCACCATATTTAGGCCTATTGGAAAATATACAAACATAAACTACATCGCTTAAAATATATAAACCAAATGGCGAGTAATGATATATGCCCATCACTTCATAGTTACTCGAGTAGTACGGTGCAATTGATTTAGTAAAGTCCAGGCACAATGTAAATTATTAACATGTGGCATACACTGTGCATACACTCAATACAAATACATCCATGCAAGGTTAAACAGATATGACTAGAGGTGATAATGGAACCATACGAGTGTGTACACCAGCTACTGTAGACTACGTTAGTTCACATTATATTGTGTTCAAAATTTTGTTCACATACAGACGGATTTATGGCGTTTTGACTGGCAATTGGTGGCCGCCATTATTGATGTTGGTGGTTGGTTAGCCTGTCTTCTCTAGTGTTAGTCGTGTATTTAGTCTTAGTGTTATAAAGATTTGGTGTTTTCAATAAGGATACGGAAATATATCACATTTATATCATATTTTATTTCAGTAGAAGTGTGCCATAATTAAGACTTAATTATGATATAAGTAGTCTGATGGCCCTTTGTAGCTTGATACGCTAGGTTCAACTACGGGGCAATACATTCACACTTAGATATATTCCAATGAATGCAACAAAACGAGAGGTTTATTCAAACATTTATTGTAAGGAATAACACAACACAGTGCAGAAAACACTCAACAGGTCTCCCTCCCCACTTTGTTGATACCAGGTCGATAAGTGTGATGCTCCGTTCTCCCACAAGAAAACGACCAGAACGAAGCTTTGACCTGACAGGCAGATGACATGATCACCTGATGTTAATTAAACGAGCGACCTCCAATTGACCTGATCTGAGTATGACCTTATGTTATGGGATGTTGCTGTTGAAATTCGCGGAAGGCTGGGGATAATACATGTGCAAATAGATGGTTTTACTCTTTATATTATTCCGACTCTAAGATTATACTTTCTGTGAAAAAGAATGATACAATCCTGACATGGTCGCAGTGCATTTGACAAAATATTCGCTAAATATAATGTAATTTCTTTTATTAAATGCCTTTTACTTACTAGTGAAGCAACATAATAGAACAGCTAGCAAATGCTGACACACAAGTTTGCAGGCTTTATATATATATTTATTTAATCAAAAACACAATTTTGACCAAAAGTTTTTTTTTTTTGAGTTTTTGGTATAATAATGCCATTATGTGAATCAAGATGCATTTTTAACAGTGCCACAGTATTAACTTTTTATAATAAAACAACTATTTAATCATTTCATTATATTTCAAAACTATAGGAGTCGCTGTTACTGTAGTATATTTAAGTACCTGCTTCTGCACTAGCGTCAATGCGCATGTGTTGTCAGGCCAAACATACCTTCATCCTCATCCAAAGATACTTTGGTTGTGTTATAAATGTAATATTTCTGGTATAATGAAGTCATCGATACACACATTCATTGAATCAAAAAGATCTAATTGTATTGGTATATTTTATGTTTTAATCTCAATGTAGGCATTGCAGTGATTTGTTTGGTCTGTATGCGATTTGGGAGAAAATACATAAATATGTTCCTTTACCCAAATTCTAAAACATATGTGGGTGAAAAAAACAATGGTATGTTCTCTGTTAATCAAGCCATACTAGCATGTTTTAATTGCACATAATTGTAAGCTGGCTATGTAATGATGATATCTTTGATGCAACTGAAGTAGTCGTTTACGAAAAACTGCTATCAGGCCTGAACCGTTATGATGATGTACTAGGCAAGATGAATTGCAGATACAGCGCAGAGCCAATCAGAAGTGTTAGATTCTAGCCAACGGGAGAAGGGGAATAGGAAAAAGAATGGCGGGGCTGGACTGTTGTATGTGAGATTTTGGCTAACGTTTTCTCCAAAAGATCGGAATGCAAATCTTACTTGAACGGGCAAACACTTGGGAAGGAAACGGAGAGCGCCATCTAGAGTTAGCGAATGGCAACGCCAATGCCAACAGCCCGATTTAAACTGCAGTATACATTAGGGGGCCCAGATAAAAAAGGTACTCGTAATAATTTAACAATGTAGTCACGGGAAGATGGTTTTTGGTTTGGGCACCCTCCTTCTTATTACCGAAGTAATGGATTCTTAAATCATTGTAATAAAGTACTTAGAATACTCAATGTTAACAAAGAACCCGGTAATCGATACAAATCACAAGAAATGTACCACAGAAAGTCTGTGACTAGTTACCAGGTGTGGGAGTAACATTAATATACCGACTAAGGAAACAGATACAAACAAATGACATTCAGTTAATCCACCAGGACCAAGAATTACAATACATTTGCATGCCACCTAAGGTGTGTTTTGTGTATAACATAACGTCATCGCACAGCGCATGCTAGAATTCTATGTGAACAATGTATGTTACACGTGTTACGTCGCTATGGGCCCCACATCCAACACGACGCGACGACCACCACCATTTAAAATTTGATTACTTTATTTTGTCGACTAACTGAAATGTGCACAAACATGTATATAGTAAATAGTTCCACTTTGATGTACAGCATCCGTAAAATTCAATATAAAAATGTATGACAAATCACTACCAAGATCTTGGAATGTACAACTTATATAAGCCAGTATGGCCATTAGACAATGTGATAAGCCCAGAGCACCAAAGCAATACATGTATTTGGTGCACCCATGGAATGTGTAGTGATCAACATTTACAGAGATGAAGACTGGCAATATTCAGATAGTATAGTCGTTCGAATTTTCACCCAGGGTACTCAGCTCCTGAAATCATGTTTTAAAGTGTGCGCACTTAGCAAATTACCCCGTCGAAAAATTATGCAAATGACAATTTTAGTTCAATATATAAGAGAAATATTATTTCTCTTTGGGAAAAATACAATTGTGAAATTAGCTGCATCGTCATTGATTTGCACAACGCTATTAAAATGACGAAATAGAAATGGTTACAAAATGTGCACATTTTATTACAATATTAATTACGTACCATCAGAATTTATGGTGTTAGGGTCTGTGGGGAAAAATCGAAGTCAAGATCACTATTTTCAGTGTCGAAAGTGTTTGATAGTACAAAGACTCTTGATGCAAAGCAATTTCTGCTAAGATACTATCTCGTACAATTTGACCTGCTACAGTGTCATTTGACCTGCTACAGTGTCATTTGACCTGCTACAGTGTCATTTGACCTGCTACAGTGTCATTTGACCTGACAAGTCTGTCATTGATCATAATGCAGTGAAGTAATGACACAATTATTCAGGAATCACGCAATGGGGAGGGAATTAGCAATGTCAAAGTACGATGTGTTGAAAATAATTTCAGATTGATTTTAAAAAATACTAGTAATTAAGTACGTTAAACTGAATATGGAATGAAATATATTTACCGTGGATGGCATGGTCAAAAGATTTAACAGGTCACTGGTTAGTCTAGTTGTCATGTTGGTTCATGCAACTATGGCCTACAGGAGTTCACTTGATGAATCAACTGGCAAGACCCCGAATATGCTGGGACACAAGGTAGTTACTATTATGGGCTGCGCCAAGTGAGGACGATGTGTAGAAAGGTTATGCTCTAAGCTTCTTGAGCAAATTCCTTTGGCCAATGAATGAGCCCAGAGTCTGCTCTTGAAGGCTGCACAGAAACATACATTGTAATACAATGGTGTTACTCACTTTAATCCTCATGAACCTGGAGAATTCAAGAAGGTTGAGTCAGCTCTTGAGTACATAAAATAAATAAAAAGAGTGTACGAACTAAAGAAATCAGGAAAGACAACATTACATACAATTATATTTTTCTTGAAGACCGACTTTCCTAGCAAACAACAAGCTGACTTGATTTGGGGGGACCAATTTATATTCATTCCCTGTGGAGGTCACACTTCTAGTAGACACGAAAAATGCTGTTCGATTAAGTCCACATTGTATATTGCAAATGGCATATTATATTTCAAAACATTACTCTCTTCATTGAGACTGAAATCCAAGTCATTCTAACCAACCTCCAGTCAGTATGACAATGGGTCCTCGGAACACTATATACATAATAAACAAACAAAGATGCTAAAATTATCAATTCCAAAATTATTTAAACCAGAATTTGTTACAAACCAGAATATAGCAACAAATTAACATGTGTAATAGCTCCCACCGAAATTCCTGAAATACTATTATTATTGTGCATTTCATCAGGCACGACGTGGAACAATTATGACTGTACAACAATGAACGGAGATCAATTCGCATATCCACAGCGTCAAAAACAAAACAGAAATAAAGAAACTGATCTCAACTATAGAGGGACAAAAACACAATAGGTAAAACCTATTTTTGAGAAAAATGTTTGATATATATATCCAGGGAGATATGTTCTGTGCCACTTCCTAATGCAGTTGTAATAATATATATATATAGGTTATATTTTAAAACAGCGTTCTTAGAGATGGGTATGTGTTAAAGTTGTAGGATTATTTAAATCTCAACGTTGTGGGCGCAAATCTCCATGAATGCACAACGTTTTGCACATTTTGCAAGAACTCATGATTTGTAGTAATGCAAATAGAATCAATAATATGTCTTTCTTTTTAAACATTTTATAGCATTTATAGAGTAAAGTACTTTAGACATACTGTGGGGCGGGCTTATGTTCAGCTTGGTTTAAAGTAGCCACGAAATACAGTAAAACATACTGTCGTTGTGATCAGGTGCGTTTATTTCGTAGCTCACACTGATTCGTGTGTATGACGCAAAATATGGTCTCCCGCAACAATCTTTTACTCAGACAGTACGCTGTCGCATCGACCTCAGCTGCGCGTCGGTCGATACTGCCGCTGTACTGTCTTCGTGCATACTTTGAGGTATCTTCGTAATAACCTTATTATTATACATCTTTTCCTTCCAAGAATACATCATGGGAATGCCGAAATCCAAAAAGTTTAGAACAGAATCAGCGAACTTCTTTGTATGAAGTCCGGTCAAATCTTGGTGGCAGCCATGTTTGTTTTTATTACACGCTTACACGCATAATCATTCCATATTTGGAATTCTCATTTCCTAATATGGTAGTATGAAAATACCCCGTAAAATACCGCAAAATTACGGCACGCTGTAACTTATGGCGTTACGGTGACAGATGTTATTTAATGTCATTTATTTATACCCTCTTCTTGACTTAGTTAGAAACATAAGAATGTCAACAAGCAGTAGAATATATCATATTCGATTTCAATTAGTAGTAGACAAGATTCGATGTCTATTGGTAACATAACATATTTGATGTCAATAAGTGCTAGAATGTACTAAAAATGTACTAAAAATAACATTTTCTCTGCATCGATATTATAGCTGCATTGTAGTCGATATTGAGTGACGACATACTTTTAATTAACTAACTTCATAACAAAAGACTTGCTAATTACCGTTTTAATACGGATTGTAATCTGGTGTCATTTGGGATGTCGAATTGCCGCAACAATGAATCATGTCTATATTTCACGACACAGCGCTATCAGACGAGACGTTCATACTTGTCACTGGAGCTACTGAGATTGGTTCTGATTCACCTTACCATGTTACACTACTACGTTAATTCACAATGTGTAAGGAAGGGTTATATTTTTCGTAGGCTATGATGAAGGTTACTGATAGTAAAGAAGGGAAAACAAAAAAATATATATAATTTTATTTTGTATTTCTCTAATAAAAATATTCTAATAATAGTTGCACTTTACGTACTTTGACATTTAATAACGGTTGGTCATTATGATACGGTGTTATGTACATTATTAATTACATTATTAATTATGAAAAGTGAACGTATTGCGGCAAAGCTTAACATTCAAATCTTCAGACTCAGCGCCCTCATCGGATAACAGCGTCCATAATCTGTTAGATTAAATCTGTGTTGGTAAACTAGTTACAGATATAGACAATGCGAGGAGTTCTGTTCTGTCCCGGCTTCCTGTCGTGTTCCGGGTCACGTGTTGTGCTCTGCGATATTTTCTGCTCATAAAATTGCGATTATATGTCTTCGCCACATAATTTATTCATATAGTTCATCCATCTAGCTTCACGAATAATACATATACTCAGGAAAAATATATATTTGGTGCATGGAAAATATTGTGCAGTGCAGTGCAGTGCAGTGCAGTGCAGTGCAGTGTAATATTATATATTCATTAATTCAATAAAATATCTTATATAAGATACTTTGTAAGTGCCAGTAGATACCACTACGGGCAAGTTTGTAAATGTCAATCTCATTTATTGCTACCAACATAATTTCCGTTGGAAAGACTTTTACAAAATTGCTTTCCACTCTGGAGGGGGGCTGGGAAACTGATTCGCTTTATATGTATATGTATATGTATATGTATATGTATATGTATATGTATATGTATATGTATATGTATATGTATATGT